TATGGTATGGTATGAGGACCAATAGTTTAGCGCGTGTAATTAGAGTAATAATATATGGGGTAGATACGGGGTAGACAAACCTTATTTATTTTACATAAAATACCGCCGAGGAGCAGTTCTCGGCCTAGTCTGGTTGCTTGATATTAAATGGAAAGCACTCTCTATGTTTGTACTATCTTTACATAGTTATGTGTCTTTCTATAAAGAGGTATATGCTCTGTGCTTGCAGAGCGAGTCCAAAGAGTTACCTAAACTATAGAATCATTTAACTAATCAAGTAGTAAGTCCTGTGCTCTGCACCGAATCAACTAGTTAATATGCCCTTTGGTATGTTACGTACCACTTATTACTCTTATTACTAGTGGCCATGTAGTTAAGGTTAATATCCATCCGCAAAAGTCTTAATTCGATTAGAATTTTTTTAACGATTCGGTTAAGTTACCCCGTAAAGCTACCGGGAAACAAGTCATTCATGATGGCAAATGACGGGGGTTTTCGCCTAGAGCACTGGGATATTTAAGAGTATTATTATTCTTACCCTTGTTGTTTTCATTTGGAGCTCTGACAGCCCCTCCGCCATCATGGCTGCAGTACATATATACATACATACATACATACATAGTAGATCCAGAGCTGTAACTATGCGTGTGTGCACTTGCTCATGTAGGTTTCCCTGCTACATCTGCGTGCCAGCCTAGCATTGCTACTCCAAATGTCCAACGGTCCAAAAGGTCTCGGTCGGGCAAAGCTGCTCCCGGTGCTTGTCCACGAACTATTTGTTATTTTTGGCTGTTATTGGATTTTTTTTCGCCGTGTCGATCAGCCACCGGCAGCCTTCCAAACTGGGATGATGGCCACAACAACCTGGAAACCCGCCATATGAAGTTCTCACTTCCGCCTCCTCTTCGTTTTTTTATTATCCTCTCTTATTTCTCTCTTGCTCTCGTTCCTGTTGCTTGTGGAATGAATTGCAGTACGTGAGCTGATATATCAGTGGTACTCGTTTGTGTACTGCGTATTATCATCATGCGGGGTGGCTTGCTCCAGCTCGCCGCCGTTGCTACTACTAGCTTGGTTGTTGCGGAGGTAAGTTTTCTCTCATTCAATGGTTATCCTGTTATGAAATTATTAGAAAGGGAAAAAAAAAATAACAAGGCCAGGTGGTTTGGCGAAATACAGGGAAGATGGGGTGCTAATCAACGCGGTTGCAAAACCTAGGAACCTCTCGCGTACTCACCTCCATATTACCCATCTCCATGGGCATCTGGAGAAGGAGGCTGGGAAGATGCCGTCCAAAGAGCAAGGGCTTTCGTCTCTCAACTAACCCTACCCGAGAAGGTTAATTTAACAACGGGTGTTGGGTATGTCCTCTGGTTCCATAACATTTACATTTGCATTTGATGTGCGAGCGGCAAATGGTGGATGTTAGGGATATAATATACATGTCATTGTGAAGTCCGCTGGTGCTAATTCGGGGTATTAGATGGATGCAGGAAGACTGTGTAGGTCAGGTCGGGTCAATTCCTCGCATGGGCTTGCATTCCCTCTGCTTGCAAGATGGCCCACTTGGAATTCGATTTGGTGAGCATTCATATATGATGCCAGATCTCATCCACACTTATATCCTCTAACAATTACCAGCCGATTACGTTTCTGCGTTCCCCGCCGGTGTTAACGTCGGTGCCACATTCAGTAAAGAGCTTGCCTATATTCGCGGGAGAGTAATGGGCGAGGAGCACCGAAATAAAGGTGTCGACATTGTATTGGGCCCTGCAATTGGGCCATTGGGAAGATCGCCAGATGGAGGACGGAACTGGGAAGGTTTCGGCCCGGATCCCGTTAATTCAGGGATTCTTGTTGCGCAAACTATCCAGGGAATTCAAAGCGCGGGCGTCGTTGCTTGTGCCAAACATTTTATAGGCAACGAACAGGAACGGTTTCGCCAGGGTCCTGAGGCTCAGGGGTACGGTTTCAATATCTCGGAGAGTTCAAGTTCAAATATTGATGATGTAACAATGCATGAACTCTATCTCTGGTGAGATTCGCATCTGTCCATATTATATACTCTAGCTTACCTGTCTTAGGCCATTTGCGGATGCAGTTCGAGCAGGAGTTGGCTCCGTTATGTGTTCCTATACTCAAATCAATAACAGCTACGGCTGTGGCAACAGTTATACGCAGAACAAGCTTCTCAAGGCTGAACTTGGATTCCAGGGGTTTATTATGAGCGACTGGCAGGCCCAGCACAGTGGCGTTGGTTCTGCTCTGGCTGGCCTGGATATGTCAATGCCTGGCGATACCGTCTTCGGAACAGGCCTTTCCTACTGGGGAACGAACTTGACTATCGCAGTTGCTAATGGAACAATTCCAGAATGGCGAGTTGATGATATGGCGGTTCGAATTATGGCCGCGTATTACAAAGTCGGTCGGGACACGGCTAAAGTGCCTACCAACTTCAATTCCTGGACTCGGGATGAATACGGCTATCAACATGCTCTCGTTCGAGAAGGATATGGAAAAGTCAATGAGAGGGTCAATGTTCGAGCCCGACATGCCAATATCATCAGACAAGTCGGAGCAGCTAGCGTTGTGCTTCTTAAAAACACAGGGAGTCTCCCTCTGACTGGGTTGGAAAAGACTACTGCGGTCATTGGAGAAGATGCTGGGCCTAATCTTTTGGGACCCAATGGTTGTCCTGATCGAGGTTGTGATAAAGGCACATTGGCAATGGGATGGGGTAGCGGGACGGCTGATTTCCCATATCTGGTAACTCCCGCGGAAGCCATTCAGAACGAGATCCTATATAAAGGAGAGGGAGTCGTTCTCTCGATTTTTGATAACTGGGCATCGAGTCAGATCAAATCACTTGCGTCTCAAGCTACGGTATCACTGGTTTTTGTTAATGCTGATTCTGGAGAAGGATACATCTCTGTTGATGGGAATGAAGGAGACCGTAAGAATCTGACCCTTTGGAACGGAGGTGATGAATTGATCGACACAGTGGCATCCAATTGCAACAATACTGTTGTTGTGATACATAGTACCGGCCCCGTCTTAGTGGGCGACTGGAATGAACACCCCAATATTACAGCACTTTTGTGGGCTGGTTTACCTGGTCAAGAAAGCGGTAACTCGATTGCGGATGTTCTTTATGGAAGAGTCAACCCAGGTGCCAAGACCCCCTTCACATGGGGTAAAACAGCAGAGGACTATGGCGCGTCCATTTTAAAGCACCCCAATGCAGGGAACGGCGCACCCCAGGTCGATTTTACCGAAGGGATTTTTATCGACTATCGAGCATTTGACAAAGCGAACATAGACCCCATCTATGAGTTCGGTTTCGGGCTAAGCTACACATCATTTTCATACTCTGGCTTGGCCGTTGAAGTCGTAAAATGTAGACCCTACATCCCCACTGAGGGAAAAACGGAATCAGCTCCCAGTTTTGGTGAATCCCATGGCAACCTGAGTTCATATCTCTTCCCTGAAGGCATAGACCGTGTTACGCGTTATATATATCCCTGGCTGAACACCACTGATCCCGCGAAAGCATCCATGGACCCCGATTACGGGCAACCCACAGAAGACTACGTCCCGCCTGGAGCAACCGATGGCTCACCACAAGAACTCCTCCCTGCTGGCGGTGGCCCCGGCGGAAACCCTGGTCTTTACGATGTATTGTACGAAGTAACGGCGACCATTACCAACACCGGCACTATTCTCGGAGATGAAGTCCCACAATTGGTAAGAAATTACATTCAAATCAAAACGCCCTCATTTTGTTTATCAAAATACCTAACACCAATATGAATTATCTAGTACGTATCCCTAGGCGGCCCCAACGACGCCAAAGTTGTTCTCCGAACTTTTGACCGCTTCACTTTTGCACCCGGCGAAGCCAAAGTCTGGAAGACCGCGTTGACCCGACGGGACTTGTCCAACTGGGACCCTGTCTCACAGAACTGGGTGATTACCAAACATCCGAAGACCGTATACGTGGGCAGCTCATCCCGAAATCTACCACTATCCGCCCCTCTGTCGTCCAATGACTGTTGAATACCGTGTTTTTCTTCTCTTTCCCTTTGTGGGAGTGTGGCGGCCATATGAGGGCGCCCAACTAGGGTTAGGTTCAATTGTCTGATTCCTCTTGATTTTACATACGGCACCTTTCTTTGTGGAAAACTCTATAGTTCGCGATTGCTCGCGCCTAGCATTTTTTAATGTTTTATTATTAATGGACTCGTATAATGCCAAATCCTATTAATTACTGCATTTTCTACCGGACAGTATAATTTTCTGTGCCCAATGAATATCGAGTAAAGTAACTTACTCAATTGGGATATTTGCTCATGCGTAACTAATCCAACAATGTGTGTATGTACTGTACACATACCTGAAGCGGACACAGGGTCCTAAATTCTGAGTTTGAAAAATATGAATCTTTTTCATTCAGAGTAAAAAAATCTCTTTATTTGCATCAGCTCTGCGACGGCTAGGACCTTGTGGATGAACGAGCATAGATTGGGAGCGCGGCGCGCGAGAGATAGAAAAATTCTTTATTTTTTTTTATTTTTTTTTATTTATTTATTTATTTTTTTTTTTTTTTAGATACTGCTTTTAGTAGATTATATCGGCTATCGGCACTAGGGAAACAAGGACATGCATGGATGTCCATGTATAGTTACTATGCCCGTTCCATGAGTTTTCCGCGATTGCGCGGAATTAATGAATGCGGGGGCATGCTTGCGGGATACGATATGCCAACTTGCATGTATGTACGGAGTACTATTTGTTGTAGTGGCATGCTTGTGTGAGGCATATGAGACAATTTACAGTAATGCATGGTTAATGACGGGTGCTAAACTAGATAGAGTTCGTGGGTTTTGGAAAGGCAATCTTCGGTGATCTATCGAACCTATGAGGAGAGCCGAACTTGTCCCCGAGAAAATCTGATGGCTTTCTGCGGCGTATAGGTATCGATGCAGATCTGTTATCGACACATGTGGAGGGAACAGTATATCTGGTTTACGCATTTCTATATGTTCTCATTTTCACTGTAATCCGGATATTTCGCGGCCAGGTATTTGACAATTGGCGAGCAACCTCCCTCTTTGGGAAGTCACACACCTAAAATTTAAGCTTGTTTAAACAATGGCTTCTAACTAAATTAGCTCTAGCGGGGCTGCAACGAACCTAACCAACCCAAACAAACATCAAGAATGTCACCGCGCACCATTGCAAAAACAAAAGCTACTTGTCACACTTGTTCAGGCACGACGTCTGCTCTCCATGTTGGTCAACCTCGCGGAGGTTGATGATCAAAACTGGTCACACACCATTCAAAACTTATCAGTACGCAACAGTCTACTATCTACATTCCAGGGTCTTCTGGAGCAGGTGGCCAGGAAGCTGCGCCAGGCTACCTTCAGTTCCAACCTTGCAATTGTCCTTGATTGACTCCGATGGCCAGACTGGCCTTCAAGAATTGATTGCTTCACTTGAACAGCTGAATTCACATTTCCTTCTGGCTATTGCAAACTACCATGTACGGTTTTCCATGTCAATTCAATACGAGATTGTCAAGATGCATAACCAAGTGATTGGAACTACTATTGACATTCGGAGATGAGCAATGGTCTCTCTTTCCAGAGAACAAGAGCTTATCATGAACTCTTTAGTTTTGAGAGGCCTGTGCGGTGAGTTGGATGGAGACTAATGTAGGAGATGAAGGCCAGTACTGAGTAGTGTTTTTTACAACATGATATTTTCAAGCAACAGCGCAAGGCAAGTCCTACACCAGGCATCCCATTGCTCACAGGAGTTCTGGAGTTAGGCAAATCAACAATATGCCAGATCGCTCGATTCTTTCTCAAAGCTTGGCATCAGGTGGAAATCGATGTCTGTGTCTCCTTTTTCCCTTTAGTTTCTTGAAAAAGAGCGAATGTAAGCGAGTCAGTTGTGCTGTCAAACTTTGTGCAGCAGATAGTGTTGGAGCGCCCATATCTCATTGAGCACATTTCCGCTCTGGGAGTTACAGACAGCCCTCTATCCTTGGATGAGAGCACTCATTTGATCTGTCGAGCGCGTCGTGACCTCAAACGGTTCTACCTTATACTGGATGGACCAGATGAATGTGAAGAGACGAGTGTAGCTGTGATCAAGAAACTACTTGCAATTGAGCCACCTCTGACAATCCTTGTTTCAAGCCGGCCAATAGCGACCGTCTTGGCTACTCTAAAGGACTGTGCCACTGTCTGCATGCCGCAACCAAGGTCGTTTAATGACTTCCTTGCCTATGCGACGATAATGCTCAACGAATATCCTGTCATTGCAGAGCATCTCGATCATAATTCTGAAAACATTGCCAATGCGGCCAAACGTATTGTGGAACTGAGTCATGGGCTGTTCGTGCTTTCTAAAGTATCCTCTAATACTATCATCAATATTCCCTGGTCTCCATGCGAGCACTACTGAATATTCTGAAGGCTAATTCTTTATCGTTACATGTTTATAGAGGACCAGATAGAATTCCTAGCCCAAGCAGAGACCAGACCCATGTTTGGACGCTTTCTGTACAAAGATTTGTTGACCATCTTTGAAACGTATGCGTTGGTGCTTGAAACGTCGTTAATCAGCAAGCGGAACTTGCAGCATTAGGCAAGAAGACGTTGAAAATAATAATGGAGGCTGCATGTCCGGTGAGCATAAGCCAGTTAGTGAGTGCGTTGGCACCGGAATTGGCTGGTGTAGCATCCATGCGGTATCTTAACAGGGACCTTACAGAAGAAGAGATAGTTGAAGCATGTCAGTCAAGTTGCAAAAACTTGGTTGTCTTCGTTGGTGAGCCTGACACAGCTGAGGCACAATTACGGCCTGTCCATTTCAACGTTCAGGAATTTTTCGAGATGAATGGACTTCCTGAATGGTGTGGTTGTTTAGCAGACCTGCTGCCTTTCTCGCTGCTAGTACATGTACATACATATGTAATGTACATTGCACTGGCCGTCCGAAATATAGTTATCAGCTACAGCAGTTTAAGTGTTACTATAGTTGTTAGGATACAGGATCTGGTTGTCCAATAGAATCTAGGGCTTAGGGCTAGGGTTGCGGAAAGAGCGCGCGGACTATATATAGAGTCATCTTTCCCTGGACCCCCTTTCTCTCACCACTGTAGTATTTCATTGAAATAGTATGTGTGCCTACAAATACATATGTCATTAGCAGGCTTGTGGATTGAATTTCCAATTGGGTTGCCAAACATGTTTTGTTCCAGAGTTCAATGTTGTCAAGCAAACCCTGCCAGCCTGTGTAACCAAACCGGGAAGCTGCAATCGCATCCAGCCTACTAGGCAGTTCGGGGCCATGCAGCCGGCCACCTGGGCATACATACATGGATGTACTGTAGATGTACGCTGATAATCGACTTTGCAATCTCCAGAAGCATGAATAATGTTGAGTCTATGAGATTGGAATGCTTGTGCATGTTGCGCGTCTTGACAGAGAAAAGGAGGGCTTATGGGGAATGGGAGTGGGAGGAAACAATGAGTGGATGAATGGTGCATTCAAACTGGACTGTCAATCCCAATAATTTTTTTTTTTCCTTTCCAGCCAGTGTACCAGGAGAGCATGGAGAAGAAGCAGCGCAGGTAGAGAGGTATTGTCAGAACTGTCTGGGTACAAAGTTTTGTGCTGGAATGACTGACCCGACAACAGTGTGGACACTGCTAATGTGCCGCTCCAAGTCGTGGCCTTTAGGCCCGTTCCTGAATGTCCCTCCAATGCTTGACTTCGTCCCTGAGTTTGCCTGAGACATAATCTTCCTTACCTTGCTATATTCTTGGCATTGTCTTTGTTTTGATCTAAATTGTGAGGTCTTGCACGAGTTGCGCTTTTATGAGTTCCCTCCATGGCCATCTTTGCATGTGCGTCAAAAGATGCGACTCCCACAGCTTGTCCACGCAATAGGAAGAAGACGGAATGTAGATAAGCCAATAGAGAGGGTATTGATGATTTGCTTCTGTGCTGGACGATTTTCTTCATGAAGAGAATTCCCTGTTCCTAGGCTAATTATTGAGATTAGGCATATTTTATAGAAAAGATGAGTGGTATATAGATACAGGCATAGCACAGTTCTCATTGATTTTCAATTTTAGTAAAGGAAAGAGATATTGTCAACTCTACAAGAGCAAAAGAGAGGCAAGACTCCAGCATTGACGTGCACATGGATTTATGTATCCTCTGCATTCATGTCATCTCCGGCATGAGGGCCTCAAAAATAACCATATATAAGTATTAATAATTCCCCTCTCACCCCTAGATCTGCTGTTTTGTGCAGGAAGCAGAAAACTTGACCTCGCTAAGTGCGCCACTTGACCTCGTTATGTAAGCTGACCTCGCAAATGTGGCCCGTGCCACTACCTGACCTCGCTCAATACATCTTTTCTTGTAATTTGAAACCACTCTTTCTTTCTTAATTATTTACCATCAATTCTACAATCAATTCAAAATCAATTCAAAATCAATTCAAAATCAATTTAATACTGAAATTATTCTTGAATTTAATAATAATACTGAATTGATTATCAACTGATTTTCAATCAATTATTAATTACTTAAATATATAGATTAAATCTATTTTTATTACTATAATTAATTCAGAATCAATTCAGAATCAATTTAAAATCAATTTAAAATTAATTATTAAATATTTTTATCTTGATATATTTTAAAATTCTGTAAAATATCTCTTTATATTCTATATGAATTTATCTGTTTATTTAATTGATTATGAATCAGCTATACATGCTTTGATTGATTGATGAGCTGAATGAATGAGTGGATTGAAAGGTTGAAAGTCAATTACCAACTGATTATTACTGTATTATGCGAGGTCGGGGTCATGATTATGTAATGAGGTCAAGTGGCGCACTTAGCGAGGTCAAGTTTTCTGTATACACTGTTTTGTGGTTGAAATATAAATTCTAGCACAGACGGCCCAAATTTTTGTAGAGCTAGTTTAGTAGTAGTATCATAGATATATCCATAGAACATTCAATTATCCCTGCATGGTTTCGAATGCGCTCCCAGCACGCTTCATATCCTGGTCGACGCAGATCCTCTAACGGTAGTTCAACCTCCAAGGAACCCTTGTTTGGCGGATAGTCCGTCCCGTGTCAGGGCCGGGGTGTGAGGGGAGCAAAAAATCGTGGGTGGGTTCCAGATCCAGAACATTCAGCCCCATGCACACGACGCCTCATTTCATAATCTCAACCCTCCAAGCTTCCTTCGGAATCCCACGCAGGGAAAGGAAAAAAGGAGCATACCAATACAATACCTCAGAAAGGAGACGACCAGTGAACTACCTAGTGCTTAGCTAAAACCCAGTCGAAAACTGCCGGCTAAACACAAGTGGTGACCAGTGACTAGAGCGAGCTGCAACGCTTAACGCAGGTTAGCCCCATTTCAGCTCAGTAAACTTCACCTATTCGCTTGCGAAGGCAGAAAATAATAAAAGCAAAAATCAGACTCAGCATTCCCGCAGCAGATAGCAAGCTATTATTATCCATTTTGCTGGCCCTCTCAGCCCGAGCTCTTCTGGGTCGTTGCGGTGTTGTGACGGTGTTGAGACAGGGCTGATCATGCCAAGCCGCCAACTGCCCCCAGAAACCAAGCAAACCAAGCAAACCAAGCAATCCCTAGTTTGTCACCGCTAACTAACTAACAGAATACGGGCTTTCCTCCCCGGGGCTGGCCGAACCCGCGATCTTGATGATTCCACTCCCGCCATACTACTCCGTATACTCTCCTCGTCCTCCGCCTTCCTCTGCCGCTTCTTCTTCCATTCACCCCCTGTCTAATCTTTCTCTCTCGCCGCTTTAGAACCGGCTTCTCACCTTCCCTCTGCCTACGATCTTCCCTACTCGAACGACTCGGGCTGGCACCTGTGCCCGTCCTCCCACCTCAACGGGATCGGCCCCGAGTCTCACTCCGGTCTGAGCAACACGGCACCCTTCGAGTCCCTAGACGAACATATACTGGCCGATGCTTTTGATCCTGCTGGCAAAACCTTGACCCTGTCTATATCCGCAAACCAACATTATACGCATGACCGTGGTTCCGGAATGGAGGACGAACGGGGCTCCACGAGCCCCAGAAGCTCTAGAGCCCAGGTGGTCCAGTTGCAAGAAGATGCGACTGGACAGAAACAGAACCTCAACCAAGCTCCCATGAATACCAACGATCTGAATGCCAAACGTGAAGGCTCTGTATCGGCCCGGGAACATGGAGACACAGAGAACCCTCGGCCATGGAGCGAACTAAAAACCAAGGCAGGGAAGGAGCGTAAGAGACTCCCACTTGCCTGCATCGCCTGTCGAAGGAAGAAAATTCGCTGTTCGGGAGAGAAACCTGCCTGCAAACACTGTTTCCGTTCTAGAATCCCTTGTGTATACAAAGTCACGACGCGTAAAGCCGCCCCTCGCACGGATTACATGGCCATGTTGGATAAACGGTTGAAGAGAATGGAAGAAAGAGTTATCAAAATCATACCCAAGGATGAGCCCCGAGATATGGCCGCGATTGGGCGATCGGTCGTCAAGCCCCCTACTTCGGGTCAAATTCCTCGTGGATATAGACTAGTTCACAAGAAGAGATCTGCTGATGAGGCTTTCCGCGCTGAGCTTAATGAATGGACGCAACCAAACAAAGGCACCGGTCCCGATGGCTTTCCGATTTGCTGGCAGTCACAAATTATGGATGAGAATAAGCTTTTCAACGAAGGCGCGGAGTTTCTTCCCTCAATCGAGCTCCAGGAGCATCTTGCGGAAGTCTTCTTCGACTGTGTGTATGGGCAGTCTTATCTATTGCTACATAAACCGAGCTTTATGCGCAAGTTTAAAACAGGAACTGTTCCGCCTGTTCTGATGCTGGCCATCTGCGCTGTCTCTGCTCGCTTCTCAACACATCCACTTGTCTGTACGGAGCCGGCTTTTTTGCGCGGAGAGAACTGGGCAAACCCCGCCGCAGCGATTGCGCTCAGCAGACATGATGAACCAAACATTACTATACTCACCGTTTTTCTCATCTTGGGGCTCCATGAATTTGGCACCTGCCATGGTGGGCGGAGTTGGTCGTTCGGAGGTCAAGCGTTGAGAATGGCTTATGCTCTTCAGCTTCATCGCGAACTCGATCATGATCCTCAGCGCAGCAGCAAAGCGTCCGAACTTAGTTTTACCGATCGCGAAATCCGACGACGAACGATGTGGGCGTGTATATTGATGGATCGGTATAATTCTTCTGGCAGCCAGAGGCCACCTATTGGTAACGAGAAGTACTTACAAATTCAACTCCCTATCAAGGAGTCCCATTTCCAAATGGAGATTCCTGGACCCACGGAGGATCTGGAAGGAAGGGTTCTTAACCCGGTCCCCGAAGGTGTGGGCCAGCTGTCTAATCCCAAAGACAATATGGGTGTATCTGCATATACAATTCGAGCCTTGATGCTTTGGGGACGGGCGGTGGATTACTTTAACCTTGGGGGTAGAAACAAGGATCCTCACCCGCTCTGGTCACCAAAATCAGGCTATGCACAATTGAAGAAACAACTAGATGACTTCTCAGCTTCGCTTCCTAATTGTTTAGCATTCAATCTCGAAAACCTGCGCAACCATGGGGCAGGGAAAATCGCAAACCAACTCCTCTTCCTACACATAGTTATTCACCAAAATATTCTCTTCTTAAATCGGTTTGCCATTCCCCTTTCTCCTGGAGGGAAACCCCCGAAAGATATACCTCGAGAATTTCTTAGTGATGCTGGCCGTGCCGCTGTCGAAGCCGCAAGCCACATTTCTATGTTAATAAATCAGGCACCGGGATATAATCTGACTGTTCCTTTCGCTGGCTACTCTGCATATGCAGCCAGCTCAGTGCACATCTGGGGGATATTTTCGAAGAACGCGAGACTTGAAGCAACGTCGAAAGAAAACCTTCGTCATACTTACAGATACCTAAACAAGATGAAGCGGTATTGGGGTATGTTCCATTATATGGTTGAGAGCACCAAGGATCGATACCGCCAGTTTGCGGATGCTGCAATCAAAGGAGTGCAGTTCAGCTCGTCGGAAGAAGATGCTCCACTATTCCAGTACGGCGACTGGTTCGACAAGTATCCCCATGGCGTCTCGCGACTGCATTATGAGGACCCGCCTTCTCGTCCCCAGCAGGAGCCTGGAGGAGATGCTGTGATGGCACAGCAATCTGACCTTCAAAGCGTGGAAGAGTTCTTTGCAAGCCTTTCGCCGCCGTCACATTCAGATAACCCGCGCAAGGAACCAAAGCGACGAGCAGGCTCAATCACGGAGCCACGACAACCACTTTTGAACTCCCTAAATCCTAATAATCGATACATGTCACCTCAACAACAGCCACACCCGTCATCACAACCGCCATCACAACCGCCATCGGAACCGCCACCACAACCTCCAGCTCAGCCTCAACCCCAGTCCCAACAGGTGCTTCAACATCCCATAATGGATGTACCCATAAACCCCACGCGCCCCCCAGACTTCCACCTTAATAGCCAAGCCATGTTTCCACAAGCCCAAACGCCCAATTTCTCCCCGTCAACCCACCTCTCCATCAACCCGGACCAACTACCACTGCTCGATCGCCAGCTCGTTTACAGCGCATATACCGGTCATGATCCGACTGTAGTCCCATCAACATCCACATCGACATCCAATCCATTAGCCGTAAACCATCCAGTAAGAATGAACCCAGCCCCAGGAGTGTCCATGCAACAAGGACTCAATGCGCCCTCCACCGCGACATGGAACTCTCAATTTGACGTCTCAGGCAACCCTGCAGCCTGGTTAAGCGAATTCGTACATCCAGGCGCTTGGTTTTTGCCCTTCAACCTGAACCCCATCGGCCAAGGCCTAGCAGACATGAATGCTGCGCCAGCTACAAGTGGGGCACCAGGCCTTGGAACACCGCCCTTGGTGAATACTCTGGGTACATACTCAGCGCCCAATGCAATGATGGGTGCATACGATCTTGGCCTCTGAAACTGCGGATAAAAGAAATCAGGAACACGGAAAATGTAACAGCGCAATTTCCGTGTACTGCTTTCCTTTTTTCTTCCTTTTTACTCTTTCTCCACTGAACTAGGTTTGAAGCGTGTCAAGAGTTTCGCTGCGGGAGAAAAATAAAATGTACAGCTCCCATTTCGCCCCACATTATTACATTTTTGAATATTGTTCAAAATTCTTCTACATTCGTTCTTCTCTCTGTACAAACCCATTCATCTCTGACAAATTTCCCCAAATTTTTGGTACATATACATACATTTATCACGACCTCAGCGCCCTTAGCTGCGTGCTGTCTGTCCCGCAACGGACACAAATTCTGTCATATAAAGCTAACATATTTTATCGATTTCGAATCGTATATATATCAGTTGGGCACATATTGTACTGTACGCCTGTCCCTTAGCGTCTGCGCCTATGTATAGTATCACGCTATGATTAGTATCTTTTTTTTCTAATTGAATGCGCTGGATGCACCATTGGCTTGCTTATGTAGATGCCAGATTTCTGGCTAGGATTTTCATTGGCGGATTGACTGGAAATACCCCATGATCTTGCCATAGATGCAAATGGAGAAGATGTGAAAAACCGTCTAATTCCGAGTCTGTCTTTCATGCTCTCTATACAAAACGTAGCTTACAATTTTATATTCAAATATGTACTCCACCATGCCTGTCTTGGATTTGTCATTCCCCGCAGGAACAAAGTAGCACACCCGCCCGCCAGCATAGCGAAGCAAAGCAGGGCAAAGCAAGGAAAGGATCGCCCGATCTAGGAGGGAAAATAAACCACAGCATCAAAAAAGATAAAAGAAAAACCTAAAATCAAAAGTAGCCCATGCGGAATCAAACCAAGCAAGATATGAAAGCCCATCATAAACACATGCCAACATAAAAAATAAAAATAAAACGAAAAATAAAAAGATAGGGTAGGATGCATAGATACAACGTAAAAGAAAAAATCAACAAATCAAACGCCATGAGATTCTAAGAATTAATCATCCCACTCTTCATCCAGCTGATCAATCAACCTATTTTCCTCCTCCACATCTGCCCTCCTGCCCCTCCCACCGCCATTAGTACCACCACCACCACGACCACCACTACCATCACGCCAGCCCCCGATGGCACCAACAAGCCCGCCGCCGCGTCTGTCGTTGTTGTTGACGCTGTGGTTGCCGTTGGAGAAACGCGAGTAGCCCGTTGGGGATTTGAAATTGCTGGAGCGGAAGCAGCGGGAGAGAGAGGTGAAGAGGATTATGAAGAGGTCCTTTTTTCGAGTTGTATGTCGTCGTGTTAGTAAAACTATTTAATTTATTTGTGTTTCGAGATGGGTTTGTATGGGGGTTTAGGAACGGCGGTGGCAGGATGGGGAAGTATATGTGGGGAAGGGGCCTAGGGCGATGGAGAAATAGAAAGGGGGCTGGGGGCTTTAGGGTTAGGTGGGAATAGGAATAGGAACAGGCACCAAAAGGAGCCGGGGAGGGATGGCGAGAACATTGCAAAGTGAGAAACCGGGAGATCCGAGATCATAACTATACAAAAAACTCGAAACAGTGAGAAAAAGGAGTCCCGTAAGGGGTAATTTTAAAAGTTCAAAAGGAGACAGTTGGCTAGTAAAGACGATGGGGACAGCGGAGATCATCCAGTACGGTCCTTACTGCCCTTTAATCGTAGGCTGAGTTAAAAGTAGTGCTGATCGATAAAACGATGTCACAGGAAAATAGATACAATAATAGGAATTCCAGTGTGAAGCGAATTGTTATCCAAGAAAAATGAAACAGAACGGGGGAAACAAGCCGAGAAGAGAACGAAAATTAACCTATTTGAGTCTGGTGGTATGTGGATAATCCATTTCTCACACGCCATGATCGATCCGGGAGGGCATAGGGGAGGAATGAAGAGCGCAAGAAACAAAAATCAATCAAGACGTGATGAAACAAGCAAAGAAACATTTCCCCGTTTGCCGAGTGGTGAATATGCTGTTGCCATGCCACTGCGTGTGTGGGTTCCGGAGAATGATAGCTTCGACGGTATTATAGATAACAAACTTACCCGTACGAATGAACCGGCACCGGCCCACATGCTATAGTTCGGGCACTGTCTCCACCCACGCTGGTGCATGACTGTTCGCTGATACGCGCATCCACCAAGTATATACACAGCTATGGCTATCAGTGCACTGGATAACAGAAGCAAGAAAGCGTTAGTATTGATTTTTTTTCTACCACTCCCACATAGCTTTCGTTTCGGTTCAAGGGGCTATATGTAGACATACATCACGCCAAAGACACCGGCCGGGCCCAGTCCACCTTCGGTGCGCGCAACGCCGCCGCATGCAGCAGCGCTCCGCACCTCAAAGAAATAGGTGCAGGAATCGAGAGTTCCTACAAACGTCACGCTTGCCGCTGGGGATACCAGATCCCGATCGCATAGGAAGGACATGAGAGTAGATTTCCGACGGGATGAATGGACAGGCTCATGGCCGGAATTTCCGTCCTTCTTCCCGTCATCTTTGTCCCTATCACCCGTCTCCCTATCCCCGCCCTTATCCTTTTCCTTATCATCTTTTTCCTTGTCATCTTGGCCATGTTCCTTATCCTTCTTGGGAGTGCCATCGTCTATGATCTCGAATCTGCTAACATTCGATGATGTCGGTCCAGGACAAGGGGAGCCGTCGGTATAGTTGAGGACCAGCCTCCGTCCGCGGAAAACGAGTTCAGATGCTTGATGCCTACAGAATGAATATATATATCCTTTAGTATGTCATGTTTGGCATTCGTTTCCCGTTCGTCCCGAATCCCCAGTTTGCCACCAATGCCCACGTACCCAATGGAATATGTCTTCCCATCTAATGTATAGAACGCGCTGACATTCGCCCATTTCGAATCCTCGACTCCCACCACATCACTCAAATTTTCGATAACAGGAGCGCAGATGTTCAATGAGAAGTTTGCAGGGTAATCGTATCCTCTAGCATGCCAACTCTCTTCCCTGTCTTTATGGCGAACCTTCTTTCCATCTTTAATTTCTGGCGGCGACAGTGCTATAGTATTAAGATCAAAATAGGCTCCCGTAGTTGGCGAGGAGATTGTACATGGTTTGGGTCCATTGTGTACGTGTTCGGCTCCGGATGTCGAGGAGCATAGGAAGAGTAACTGGACGGCAGCGGTTAGGAAAAAGGATCTAACGGGACGCATAGCGGCGGTGCTTTAATACGGTTTTGTATAGAGATGCACTAAAGAGGGCGCGGGGAGATTCAACACCGCAGAGAGAAGTAGAGAGCCGCTATGGGCTTCCACTGAAAAGAGCGAACACCAGTTGTTGTACAAAATATTAAGGAAATAGCTGAGTAGTAAATAACTAATAGGACGCAGAAGTGATGGCGGAATGCAGATGGTTGAAGTTGCAGTTCGTTCCATCGAAGTTGGCACTGTAACTAAGTATAGTTAGTTAACTTTAGTCCAAGGAGGTTTGTTTCCGCAACCAAGATCCCGCGCGTTACAGATTTACGTAGCGTATTGGGCGCCAAGACTTCCCGTTCTAGCGCCAGGTCTCAGTAGTCTTGGCATTGAAGTTCATTTATCATGTGATTTCAAATCACGTGGACACTCTGGTGCCTGCTCGGAACGAACGCCGCACGCTAATCCTGTTTCGGTGCCTAAGCGCAAGCCGAGCCGCATTGCGGTGGATAAATTATGGCCTTATGTTTTTTTGGCTGGGGCCGACTTTCCGCGCAACCTTGAATTCAACTAAAGCTCCAAAAGTATAAGGATCTTAGGGCATAGGGCATGGTCAGGTGACTCACACAAGCCTCACCACCTCATATTCACTCACTCATCTCTAGCTTAGATAGCTTCTTCTTCTTCTTCTTCTTCTTCTTCTTCAAGATTCAGTTTCAATATGATCTAGTATACTGCTGCTATTCACTCTGATAAAGTTAGTCTTTATTCTGTAATATTACTGAATCTTCTCATCTCACTATCAGTTACAGATCTGTAGTATTTTTTTTTTTCTCTACATCTTCATACACAGTGTTCTGCAGCAAAAAAAATAGCACTCAGTTAAATTATATAAATTCAAGCTCTTACAGATCAAGTTAACAAACTAATCACTCAGAACTGTTAAATAACTGATGTTAATATATAACTAATCTGATGTTTATTATTATTATTATTATTCTTCAATTATAAATATATACAGTCAGAGACTATGATATCTACCTGAGAATCTTTAGTTCTCAGAGTTTTTCCTATATCTATAGAGTCAACTATTATATATTTATCAATTTCAAATATACAAAATCAGAAAATTTCAGTCTAGAATATAAAAACTGTTTATAAATTACAGTATTTTAACATCTTCTGATAGTTTGAAATCATTTGAAAATATTATGATAAAAGAAAAGAGAACATAGTCTTAAAGATAGATATATTAAATAGATAGAGAAAAGAATAGAAGAAAACAAGTATAGTAAAAAGAGCTACAGAATAAGATCTCTGCAGTTTATATCTTAAGCTATATACATATTTTAACACTCTATATAACTGATCATCATCTTTGTTCTCTCAGATCTGCTTCAGAAATTATTATTCTCTCTAAAGAGTTATCACTCAGCTAGCTTCTGTAACTAGCTTACTTATAAATAAAATTCTCACTAAGAATAATATCAGAGCTACTCAATTCTAGTTAAGTCTCTAATCTTCTAGCTGTCAATCTCAGTATTTCAGCCTATTAATTGATCATCACAGTCTTACTTACACTAATCACCTATTAAAAGTGCCTAGGTCTTGTCTCATCTAGGTTCTTGCTAGGCTCAGAGTGTTCTAATCAGATAGTTTTTAAATCTCATTTCTTAGAAGTGAGTGTCTAGAGTGAGAGAGATAAGATCTGATCAGTTAAGCTTGATAATGATTCACTATTCTGCAGATATTCTAGATCTTAATCACTCTAGTACTGATCTAACTTGAAGTATCTGAAGAGCTGTTAATTCTAAGATCAGTAAGAATTAGCATTCAGAGATTCTCAGAATGAATATCTTAAGCTTGATAATAATTCACTATAGTGCACTCAGAGACTCTCAGTACTGTTTTATAACTTAACAGTGAAAGCTGTGATTAAAATGACTCTTACAGAGTTCAAACCTGCCTTCTCTTAACATTCATTCCCTGGGAGAAAGGCCGCTAATTGAGGCTCTATAATAGCATAGTTAATCACTACGCCACCGGGCCTAATCTGATGTTTGAAAACACTGAAAGTCACCACTCATATAAAAGACATGCTCTCAGTCTCAATTCATTATTAACTCATGATCACTATCACTAAGATGAAATTATGTAAATCAGATATCTTTGATAAGACTAGTAATATTCATTTCTGACTACTGAATATGAATAATAATATCTGTGAATATTTTATTATTAATAAAGTCTTTAAAATCTCTTTCAGTATTAGCTATCTTAGCTTTAAGATTTGTCAATATATTTAGTAAATATAAATGAAACATGATATACATGTTGTTATCTGAGATATTCTGAAGATATGACTCTGTGATAACTACTGAGAGATTAATACAGCTCTTACTACAGAGCTATAAATGAACTTTCTTTATATATAATACAATTAATGTGTGATAGACTTCATTATCAACTTCAAGATTATTATAGTAGACTTGAAGTGAAATAATTCTGTACTATATATTACATTTTATACTAAGTTAACAACATTAATTCTTTATTAGATTAATTAAGCTTACTTTAATATATAATCAGTATTCTTCACTAAATGAAAGAAGATAGTTATAATAATAAAGAGTTATATTTTCATATTATACTAACTCATCTCACAGAACTGCTAAGTTAAATTTGATTTTATATAAGATAATACAATCTCTAATATCACTGTTAACAGAGATTATTTCAGATTATTATGTAATAGTAATAAGAATTCAGATATCATAGATAATAAATACTGAAAATATTAATATAAGAGTATCTGTATCTGATGTGAATAAATGAGATACTGAACAGTAGAATACTGTACTTATCTAATATCAGTTTTCATACACTTATCTGTAGAGATCTGTAACTGTCAGAGTATCTCTATATCTGTGATTATCAATGATCACTTATACACAGTCTTTCTAAATTATACTGTTACATGCTCTTCATTCTTCTCTCTTAAATTAAAAAATAAATCAGTACATTACTAGAAGCAGTCACATGCACTAACAAGTCTCAAGTCAATCTCTTTACTCAGCAGATTGATGAATATATCTTATTTATAAAGATCATTTACTATGACATATCAATTCCTGATATCATCTCAGCTCTTAATAATATAATATGTCTTATATATCACATCTTTAACACTCTTTCAAACATAAAATACCTCAGCTGTGTTATTCTCTCAGTCTTAGTTAACTCTGATACAGAGTTAAATATCATAATCTTAAAAGTGACAGAAGTATTAAATGCTGTTAAAATATCAGTAGCAGAGATCTCTCTGAAGAATCTACAGCACTTCTTATATTAAACAGCTCTCTTTATCTATAAACTTACTCTGCTGAACTCTGATGAACAGCTGATCACATACTACTTTTACTCTATATCAATGATTTTATCTCTTATTCTAGACATGCTCTGGCTATATAACACAAACTCTGACATTCATTGAAACACAGGTCAGATATTTGACAGATTCTGAGTATATTAATAACATATAGAAGATATTCTGTCATAAGAATCTCTCAGAGAGGAAATGATTCTTATCATAGTCTAATTACAGTTCTCTGAACTAATATAATTAGTATCAGACACTCTATCACCTCAGTTAGAGAATTTTCAGAATGTTTTTTATCTATTTATAGCAAACTCTCTCTTCTCTCATTCTGATACAGATATGAAGATAACTTTGATAAATAATAAGACTCTTAAGAAAAGTTCACTATATAATATAAGTGAGAAGAAACTATAGCTTCTGAAAAAGTACATTGATGAGAATTTGAAACAAGAATTTATTCAGTTTAGTAAAAGCTCTTATATATCTTCAGTATTATTCACTCTTAAGAAGAACAGCTCTAAAAGATTTTATATTAACTACAGAAATCTAAATACAATCACAGTTAAAAATCAATATATAATATCTCTAATTTCAGAGCTTCTGAAAAGATTTAATAGAATTCACTGAATTACAAAGCTAGACCTGATCTACATCTTTCATCTGCTACAAATCACAGAGAATTATAAACATCTCACAGCTTTTAAAACATGTTATAAAAATTATAAATATCTAATTATTCTCTTCAATCTCTACAACTTCTTCAGTCACTTTCAACAGTATATTCAGACAGTTCTTCTTTTATACATAGATAAATTCACTATAATCTACATAGATAATGTTATTATATACATAAAAGATAACAGTCTGAAGACTCATTAATAATATATTCAGAAGATGCTTCAGAAACTCAGATAGATCTGACTAATATACAATCTCTTTAAATACTGCTTTCTACAGAAAGAAATTGACTTCATGAGCTATATAATTGACTATCACAGCATAAGAATGAACTCAAAGCATGTAGAAGCTATAGTATTATAGCTTATCTTTAAATCTATTCAAGATATCTGTGAATTTCTGAGATTCTGTAACTTCTATCATCACTTTATACACTGCTATAGCAAAGTTACTCTATCAATGATAAATCTACTGAAAGTTAACAAGATCTTTCAATGAACAGACACTGAAGACTTCAGTTTTTAGCTGCTGAAAGATGAATTTATCAAGATCTCTCTTCTCATCTTTTACTCTGATGAACTAGGAATTATAATCTTCTATAATGTCAGTGACTATATTATAAGTGAAATTCTTATACAGAAAGAAGTAAATAGATATCTACACTCAGTTACATTCTATAGCAGAAAAATGATAAATACAGAATATAATTACAGCATATATAATCAGAAAATGCTGACTATTATAAAGTCAATCAGATATTAAAGTTACTTCATACAGAGTAATTATTATAAAACAGTTATTTACAGTGATTATAACAATCTTCTTTTCTTTCTAATAATCAAAGTACTCAGCTATTGTCAGATCTGCTGAGTACAGTATCTGAGTAAGTTAGATATTATTATTAAGTATAAGAAAGATTATAAAAACTCAGCAGATATCTCTAGTTAATATTCAGACTACAGATTAAAGTCAGAGAAGCTGATAGAGCTTAATAACAATTTTCATTACTTTCTGAACAGATTACAAGATCATCTTTATCAAGTCAGAATAGCTGCTATATTAATAGCTGCAGATATATATTATAGTGATGACTTCACTTTCAGCCTGCTTCTAGACATTATACATCAGCATCTTTCAGAGAATCTTGAATCTCTTATCTCTCTTACTAATTACAATTATCTAGAGAATTGAGCTATTAAAAATGAACTGCTTTTCTATCAGAATTGTATTATAGTCTCTGAATATCTTCTTACAAAGCAGCTTCTTCTAGAACACTTTTATAATACTTTCATCACTGATTACTCTGATTCTTATTAAATATACAGTCTAATTTAACACTGATTCTATTAGTCTCACATATATTAAGAAATTAATGAATATTATAAGAAATGTGAAATATACAAGTATATAAAATCTATATCACATTATATATACAGTGAGTTAATATCAGTTCTTATCTTAAATACTAACTAATATACAGTTATACTTGACTTTATTACTAATCTTTCTAAATCACTCTGCACAGTAATAGAAGCTATCTTTGATATTATTCTAGTTATTATCTGTAAATAGTTAAAGAGATTATACTATATATCTACAGTTATTAATATTACTTCAGAGATACTTACTTATCTTTTTATTAATAATATAGTTCATCTATATAATATATCTACTATTCTTATCTCAGATAGAGATCATTTATTTATCTCAGAATTTTAACAAACTCTCTTATAAACTTTAAGTATAGATTACAGACTTTCAACAGTATATTATTTACAGACTGATGAATAAATAGAAAGATAGAATTAAGAGTTAGAAATCTATATTTATCTTTATATAGACTATCTTTAAATTAACTGAGTGAATCTTCTAACTCTTACAGAGTTTGTATACAGTAATTCAGTTCATTTAGCACTAGGTATTATACTCTTTTTCATAAATCTAGAATATTATTCATCACTGCTGACTATACTCAACTTCTCAGTCTCAGAACTGAATCACTCAGACACTGAACATTATACAGTACTAATCAGAGAAGCTTAAGAAGAGATCTACTTCTATCTACTATATACTCAAGATTTCATGACTTACTATACTTATAACAATTCTCAAGAATTTAAAGAAGAAGATCTAGTCTTTCTCAATGATAAAAATATAAAAATAAGACATCTTAACAAGAAGTTGAATTATAAGTTTCTAGAACTCTTCATAGTATAAAAATGCATTGATATTCAAGTCTACAAGCTATCACTACTCTTATTATACTGTATACATGATGTTTTCCATGTCTTTCTTCTAGAATCTCACAGAGTCACAGAAATCAATAATAATCATATATTCTCAGAGATTATTCACTCAGAGATAGACAATGTGAATAAAGACTATAACATTGATGAGATTCTAGATATGAAACTTATAAGAGAAAACAAAATCAAGTTTCTCATACATTGACTTGAAAAAGAATCTCAGTTCAATGAGTGAATAAATCTCACTTATCTTATCAATGCTCAACTATACATAGAGATCTTCTATAAGCACTACTCATATCAGCTGCAGCCTTCTTCACTCAGCAACATCATTTTCAGTGTATCAGTCAGAACAATCAATCAAGCAGGCATGCTTCTTCCATTTCAAGTTCAATATCACAGGTCACAACAATACCAACACAGCAACCTAATACAATAACCAGCACTGGACCTAGGGCAGAGCTCATCCTGCTAGCATATAATCCTAATACATAGTAGGGCCGGGAGTCCCTGCTACTGCAACCCCTAGGGCAGGGCATGTCCTGCTAGGAACCCCGGGGCAGGGCTTGTCCCGCTGGCTATGACTAGGGCAGGGCTCATCCTGCTAGCAATGAATCACAAATATTAATGTATCACATATGTATGTATTTTTAACCACAGAAGGAAGGACCCGCGGTGGAGGTGAGGAGGCAGAATATAAGAATCTTAGAGCATAGGGCATGGTCAGGTGACCCACACAAGCCTCGCCACCCCATATCCACCCACTCATCTCTAGCTTAGATAGCTTCTTCTTCTTCTTCTTCTTCTTCTTCAAGATTCAGTTCCAATATGATCTAGTATACTGCTGCTATCCACCCTGGTAAAGTTAGTCTTCATCCTGTAACAAAAAGCCCCTTTTTTCTTATTCTGTCCCCGCACTCTGCTTGATGCTTTCCCAAATGATATAAAGTTCACCAGTCGAGTCAATTGCCACTTTTGCTGTCTGGTCTGCGTTTCCGCGTCTTGCGTTTCTTAAGCAGGCAGTCTCACCAATCCAGTACAATGGGCGCAAAAACCGAAAAGAAAGCTGCAGAAAAGAAGTCTGCTGGAAAGGCAGCACCAGCGCTCTCTCCCTCAGCTGCATTTGAAAAGCATGGATATGAGTTTTTTGGACCGTACGTCCCCGTTTATCATCCCTACTTGTATTAACTGATGTATTGTGCACTGTTTGCTCACCTGCAGTTTCTAGCCCGGGGACGTTTATCCTAATCACCGTCCTTCCGATTCTCATCTACATATTCCCCTTCGTCTGCAACGATATCTCCGGGTGCCCAGCACCATCCCTCCTCAGCCCTTCTACCCTTGTGCTGGGCACCTTAAAACGAGAAGTTGGATGGCCTGAGGATGGCCTGAAGGGCCTGTACGATACCCAGACCACCCTCTATGTCCTTGGTTACTACCTGCTCCTTCTGGTTCTCCAAATTGTGCTGCCAGGGAGAGAGGTCGACGGAGTAGTACTGGCATCTGGAGGAAGACACAAATATAAGTTCAACAGTGAGTAATTTTTCTTTCAGTTGTACCCAGATGGCCTTGATCGCAGTCTAACTTGGAGATTCCTCTACAATAGCCCTTCTTTCCACAATTTTGATCCTGGGAGGATGCGGTGCAGGAAGTTATGTATACGGGGCCGATTTCCCCGTATGGACTTTCATTTGGGACAACTACATTCAAATCATCACCGCAAACATCATTATCTCCGTGGCATTCTCGCTTTTCGTCTACCTTCGAAGCTTCACAGTTCCCGCTCCGGGACAGCCCAACCCAACACACCGCGAACTTGCACCTGGAGGCTGCAGTGGCAATCCAATTTACGATTTCTTCATGGGCCGTGAACTCAACCCGCGAATCACCCTTCCCATCCCCTTCGTGAGCGAAGCGTCAAGAATATTTGACATCAAAGTTTTCTGTGAGATGCGACCTGGTCTTTTGGGGTGGATCATTTTGAATCTAGCCAACATCGCACATCAGTACAAGGTCAACTCTGGTGAGATTACGATATCGATACTACTCGTTACTTTCTTCCAGGCTTTCTATGTGATTGACAGCTTCTTCATGGAACCTGCTATCCTCACAACCATGGACGTGATCATGGATGGGTTCGGATTCATGTTGTCATTTGGCGATTTGGTCTGGGTGCCATTCATTTTCTCGATACAAACAAGATACCTCGCCGTGTACCCTCTGCATGTTGGCCCACAGGGCATTGCAATGGTGTTGGGAGTTCAAGCGGTCGGATATTATGTCTTCCGCAGCACGAACAACCAGAAGAACAGATTCCGCACGAACCCTAATGACCCTCGAGTCAAGCACCTGAAGTATATTGAAACTGCAGCTGGTTCCCGCCTGCTGATATCCGGCTGGTGGGGTTGTGCTCGTCATATCAACTACCTAGGCGATTGGGTGATGTCATGGGCATACTGCCTTCCCACTGGTGTTGCGGGTTATCTCATGCTCGACCACGTGGATCCAGTTACAGGGGCTGTGGAAAAACGCGCAGTCCAGACCCCCGAGGTTCGTGGCTGGGGTATTCCAGTAACGTACTTCTTCATGGTGTATTTCACTATTCTTCTCCTCCACCGGGAAAGAAGAGACGAGGCGAAGTGCAGAAGGAAGTATGGCAAGGATTGGGATAGGTATACTTCCATTGTGAAAAGTAGGATTGTACCAGGGATCTATTAACGCGCCACTGGCCGACGGGTTAAAGACGCTTCTTCCCCCCCGTTTTATTTCGCTTCTTAAAAGTTAAAGGAATTTTTCAATCAGGAGAGCATATGCGGGAAATGTATTCCGGATTTCGGTTCCTCTAACGTTGCCATGCCTTACGTTCCTTGTTTCCCTGATGGTTAGGGTCTACAGGGGTGAAGGTCGCGTTATATCTACAACAATATAATACTACTAATTAATCATTTTGCAAGCAATTCATGTATATAACTGGGCACAAAAAAATTGAAGGAATATTACATATGGCCTGACATACTCTAGTTATGTATAGTCAGTTTATGATATAAAGTGTTACACCCTTTCCACAACCTTCCTTGTGCTGGATTCTTCTAAAAGCTCCAACCCCCAATCTTCATCTCCCCGATTCTCAACCCAATTTCCAAGCACTTCTCTCACATCCGTCGTCACGTTCTTTCTGAGCTTCGAAGGGCCAATGCCCATCTTGATACACTTCCGCTTCATCAACTCATAACTTTGTGCTGTGAGCACGCATTCCTTCATTTTCGCAAAGAGCGAATTGTCGTGAATATGATCCAACGCTCTCCTTGTGGTACTTGTCTGGTTCTCGAATTTGCCAGTCTGGGCTGCAACCCCATCATTCTCACCACAATTGTCAGCAGAGGGCAAAAGTTGGACAATGTCTCTAAGTAAGCCCCACATCTTTGCGCGGGATAGAGCGCTTGCTTTCCGCGGTGTGGACGAGGAGATGCGGTAGCCTTGTTTAACGCCATTTATGAGGGTTTCATTTAGCTTGGTGCCTGTTGCTAGTTTCCCATTTATCGCTGTAGATGATGATGGGGCAGCCGTCCAAACCGCAGAGATATTTCCCGGTTTACTCTTCTTCTTCTCCGCACCATTGTTATCCTTCGGTTTCCCGAACGCCCACTCCTCCTGGACCTGGGCAGTCGGCACGGGCCGAACCTCAAATGGACGGAATGTATATCCCATCCCGCCTAGAGAAGCAGCAGTATCGTCATCGTCAACACCGGGATCATCATCGCTCCATCTCCGACCATTTAACTCCCCAAGTCTCCCAGTCTCACCACTTCCAAACGCCCTCGCACATGCCACGCGACTTATTTCCTCCTCCGGAAGCAGCAGTGCGGTCAAGTACGCATTTGAGCTTGGGAAAATGAGCAGACACGCAGGAAATGTCAAGAGAGACGTCACCTGCTTCACAGCCAACTTGTCAGAGCAGGATTTGCTCAGAGTTGATTCGGCGTCGGCACGAGAAGGCTTGCGGCGCACGGCGCCGAGGATAGAGAAGTGGGCGCGCCCGTTTAGAAGACTCGTCGTGGTGTGTGGAATATTGTTGGCTTGATTGTGTTGGCTACTATTGCCACTGGAGTTTTCGGGATTGTTACTGGCCCCGAGGGGAGGCGTAGCCCATGGTGTCGGGTCTTCCTGGGAGGCCATGCACAGTTCCATGCTGACATCGCCACATGGCGCACATGTTCCGTACATGTAGATTCTCAGGTCCTTGCGAAGCTCGAAGGGTGGCCATGAGTGTTTGGTCTTTGCCAGCTGATTGGTATCTGAAATTCTGGAGAGGGTGTGGGATGCCAGATTAGGCCCTGTTCCCGGTTGGTGCCTCCAATTTATGAATTTTGATGCATGTAACTTTCCGCAGGTTGGCTGCGTCCCCGCTTCATCGTTGTTGTTGGCCTCGTTTGCTTCGATTCTCTCGGATTTAAATTCATGATTCGAATAATCTATCCTGTGTTCAAGCAGGGATTTACATTCTTCAAGGAGCCAGTTGTTGAAAGCCCGAATCGCCAGAATTTCAGCATGGCTATCATGCAGTACCATGCCCCGGCATTGGCTAATCTGTGAAGACGGGAGGCATTTTGCCCCTGTTCTGTTTTCCTAAAGTCAGCGGAATTGGTCCATGCGATAGATAATAAAACATGGGATACATACGCGATAGCTACGCAAGTTAAAATCTCCTCCCGTGTATTTTCTCCTTCAATGTAAAAATTAATTAATCAATCTGAGCCCCTAATATATATTATTCCCAGATTCAATTAACCTAAAAAATCAAGGCGCATCATAGGTTCAAAATGGGAAAATAGCAAGGCATCCCAATGCAACAAGAGGTAATCATGCTCATGGTTTGCAGCTCAAACCATCCGGGCATATAGGAGGGGGGGGAATCATGTAGGTTCTCAGAAAGAAAATGAAATGCACAGAGGAGAAAGTGTATATTTATTTTCCCCCTTCAACTAGAACGAGCAAAATCCATAGATAAACCATCGGGCTTACCAGTGACAAGCACAATGCCGCTCAGGGGCACCCATTCCCTCGATCCATCTGGGTGGATTGTTGGTTTACTGCGTTTTGGCAGGGCATCGAAATGCGAGTGGACAAGCCTTGCTATGCGACTCCCCAATGAAGCGTCGCCCATCAGAATACGGTCGACCTGTCTCACGAGTTATACCAAGATAATGCTCGAAGCCATCAACGAATACACCGTCTTCGCAAATCCATTATCTATCCCCAAAGCGGTTCGAGATTGGAAGAAATCATGCCAAGAAGTTGGTGACTACCATACCGGAAAAACGTAGGCTTATTATATGACCGGGTTATGGTTGTTCCGCCATGCCAGTCGCCGACACCGTCGCTGAACCATAAAACTTAATATAATGGTGGATTAGCTGTGGAATCACCATAAATGAGTTATGAATAGAATAAAATCATCATTGTATTGACAATGTCACTGATTCCTATCTATATAATCACTAATTCTAAAAAATGTCTCATTCACTGAAATTATTCTCTATTGAAAATCTGTTATATTTCTCTATAATTTCTCTCAGATTCTCTGAATTATCTCTATATTATTATCATCATTTCCTGTCATATTCATATCAACATTTATTTCAGAGAACTTATGAATTAGTATTGAAGTTTGTGAAGAGTCAGTGTCAATAATTATTCACTGTTTAAAAGAGAGAATTTTAAGAAAATTGAAAGCTGTGTATTTATTTATCTATATTATTATTAACTTCTGTATAAATTTGAGAATTATTTCACTGATTCTAACTTACTTTTTCACTGAGAATGTTGAGAGTTTCAGTGCTACTTATAGTCAGAGAATCAATCAGAGTCAGAAGATTAAAGAAGAAAGAGAGAAGAGAATTAACAGTAGTAGTTAGACTAGTCACTGAAATCATGAATTTTATATTTGATCTCATTTGATCTGATCTTATACATTTCTTGGCGTGAATCCTGCTGGAACTGACTATCAAAAAAACATGTAAAGTGACTGTATATCAGATCTTAAAATGAAATCATGACTTGAAAAAAATGAGAAAGTGGTTTCATTTGATCTCATTTAGTCTCATTCTTGACATAAAGTTACTATTTTTAGACATTTTAAGGTTTTTTTTAGACTATTTTTAATTTTTTAAAAAGTAACACTTTTTGATAATACTTAAATAAGATTTAAAGTCATTTAAAGTAATAAAAATAATTTAAATTAAGAAGTGAAAATCATAATCTCATTTGAAAAATGTAATAAGAGTAGATAGTAAGTTTCACTGAGACAGTATAGAACTACTATCTAATATTAAAACTATGTAATGAGATCAGTTGAATTGATAATGAGACTATTAAAAAATCTGGTCCTGGTCTCAGACACAGTCACATAGTCAGTCTAGTAGTAGTAGAGATATTAGTGAGAGAGATAAGAAGAGAATTATCACTATTATTAAATTTCTCATCACTGCTACTACTGTCACTGACTATGACTGAATTCTTATCAAGATAATCTGTGAGTCTCTGTCTCTAAACATGCTTTATTATTTCATACATTTTAATAATAATATAACTAGCTTCAGTATTGACATTATTTATTAAATTTACAAGATTCTTCATCATTAATTTTTATTCTTTAATATAACTAATTATTATTCTCAAAAGCTTATGATACACTTCAAGCTTTGTAGTTTTAATATTAAGTTTTATCTTTTTAATCATAATTTTCTTCTTTTCTGTGATAACTTTTTTCTTTTTAATTTCTAATTTCACTCTTTCAATATGTAAGAAATCTCACTTCTCGCGAATTCTTTACCTGTATTTCTACCTCTTATATAATCAATAGAGTTAGCAGCTCTTGACTACATATAACTATATAGACTGAAGTTCATGAATACTATTTATAACTCAGCTTAAATACTATTATATATTTAATTTCTATATTTTATCTTTCTACTGTGAATACTTCTAGTAGTTAATAGTATATATTATATCAAGCTATAAACATCTGAATAATCACCTGTGAGTACTTATTCTTACATTTCAAACTCAGTCAGTTAGCAACTATCTGTTATAACTGAAAGAACTAGAAACTTATATACTTCAATCTCTATGAACTCTACTACAGAGACTCAGAAGTAGTTATCTGAATTATAAATAATCTCTGTAAAAGAAGTTCTAGAGAACTTATTAATTATTTATAAAACATTATTCTCTATATTTGTGACAGAGAAACTCTTCAAACTCATGAATAAATCAATCTTAGTAAAGAACATTCTTGAGCATCTCTTACAGAATCAAGCTATTTTTCTATAAGAAATACTTACTGTCTATAAACACTCTTAAATTAAGTCTCTAGACATAATCTTCAGAGATATCTACAAACTGAAAAGAAACTTTTTTAAGCTATAATCACTTAAGATTACTTACTGAATCACAATCTATAAAAGCTTTTATAAGTTTGTATTTAAAATTGACTTACAAGCTCAGCTGTGTAATATAAAAGATGAAGAAGCTGTTATCTATATAATGACAGATCTCTACTATACTGAAGTCAAGAACTGACTGAATTATCTAGAGAATAATTATAAGAGATCTCACTAATCTGTTCTTAAGATCTATCTAAAGAATAAGTTAGAGAACTTTATAAGTTAGACAGAGAATATCTGAACTGTAATTATTAATATTAGAAAAAGAGATAAGAAATCTGATAAAGACTACTTACAGCACTTTATAAAATTATAATATGAATTGAGATCTGTGAAAACAGAGCTCTGAAATAAGACCTGAATAATAATATTTATAAAGAGACTGAATAAAGATATGTAGAATAAGCTTATTAAGTAAAACTCTAAGTTCTTAACTCTGAAGAAACTAATAACTCTTATTCACTACTTACAGATCACTGTAAGAGTCACAGATCTGTAGAGAGTGAATCATTAATTAGTCTCACAAGAGTCAGAATAACAGAGAACAGATTTATCAGAAAAAGATAATAAGATATAGAGAGATTTGTATCTAACTACTAAGCAGAGAGAGAGAGCTTTATAAGCTTCTATAAATAAAGTATATAATAGAGAGATTAAGAAAAAGAATCTCTACTTTATCTATTCTAAATCAGAATATCTCTGTGCAAACTATTCAGATAAATTAAAATAGAAATTTAAGAAGTCATGAACAGAGTTAGTAACAGTCTTCTTAAGAGTCTTGAAGCTAATACCTGAATCTGTTACTCTCTCAATGAAAATACTTACTTATAAGAAGAGATTATACTGCAGTACTGCTATCTTACAAGTATAAGAAATATTAATAAACTCAGAATCTCAGGTCACTATAGTGTCTCTAAAACTTACAGAGTGAATAAGCTAAGTGATAAAAACTAAGAATCTGCTCTTATAATAAGCAGAGTATAAGAACTCAGACCTGAGAACTGAGAGACTTATAAGAGTTATTTTTGAATTATAAGATCTCTTCAGAATCTGAAGAAGATTTACAGAAACTGTGATTATTACAGATATCACAGATAATATATATTTAAGACTTATATAACTTTAAAGACATAATCTGCACATAGCTATCTATGAGTCAGATTTATACTTCTAATTAGTGTTAACAGACTTACTTATAGAAATAGAATCAGTTAATACTATAGAGTTGATTAGAGAAGACAAGCTTATTTATATAATAACTTTATAAATATCTGAGAACTTCACAGTTATAAAAACTGAGCTTCAGATATCAGAGAAATACTGAGATCTTACAGAGATATTCAGCTCAGTAAAGACAGCTAAGCTTTCTTCTCACTGTGAGAAGAATCTGATAATAGATTTAATAGAAGAGTAGAAACTCTTTTAAGAATCAATCTATAAACTCTCTTACTATGAGACAGAGATCTTACAGATCTATATAAAGAAGAATCTGAAGAATAACTTTATCTGATCTTCACAGATCTCTGCAGAAGTCTCTGTGATATTTATAAAGAGAAAGAATAAAGATCTTAGATTATATATAGACTACTGCAATTTGAACTCTAAGATAATAAAGAGTCACTACTCTCTATCTCTGATTAAGAATGTAATTAATCATCTCACAGAAGCTATTATATTCATATAACTGAATGTAATTAATATATATACACAGCTGTAAATACAGTCTAAGAATGAATAAAAGACTGTCTTTAGAACTGTACTGAGATTGTTTGAATATCTAGTGATATCTTTTAATTTGACTAATACTTCTGTGATATTTCAGTCTTTTATTAATAAAACACTTCATGTATATCTGAATATCTTTATAATAATATATCTGAATAATATGATAATGTACTCTATGAAGAAGAAAGAACATACTGAGTATATATAAAGTATATTAAAGATCTTAGATGAGACAGAACTGTATATTAAGCTTACAAAGTATAACTTCAGTATCTATCAGATTAATTTCCTAGAATATATAATTATTATAAATAATATTCAGATAAAATCTTCACAGATTGAGACTATTCTATTATAATTAGAGTTAACTAGTATTTATAAGATTCAGATCTTTCTGAGCTTTATAAATTTCTATAGACAGTTTATCTTTGTATTTATAAGAATCTTCTTAACTCTTACAGACATGCTGAAGAGTGAAAATAAGAAGAAGTTATCTTATAAACAGAGAATGAAAAGATTGTTAAGAAGAAAGAGCTGTGAGAACTTTCTTATCTCAGAAGCTCATAAGATCTTTATAAGATTAAAATAGATATTTATAGATATAGTGATACTGTTTCACTTTAATCTCTTATTCTTAATCAGATTAGAGATAAATGTCTTCTTCTTTATAATTTCAGAAATAGTCTTATAACTACAGTTAAATAAGAACTGAGTTTCAGTGATCTTTTTCTTATAAAAGATACAATCTGCAGAGATCAACTATAGTATTCATAATTAGAAGCTTCTTATAATAGTGAAATTCTTCTATCACTGATATTACTACTTTAAGAGTCTTGTAACAGTGATTACTATTAGAACTGATTATAACAGCTTATAATAGTTTACTTTAATTGAGAAACTCTTGCAGTGACAGATTCACTGAGCTCAGAGACTGAGTAAGTTCTGATTCAAGATAGAATATATTAAGAGAACTAAGAATTCAGTGAATGAACTCTCTTATAGATCAGACTATATTAAGAAGATCAGAGTGATAGATATAGAGAGAGTAGAGAAGGCAGAAAAGCTTCATGAAATACTCAGACTAAGTGTTATAAAGAGATTAACTGAAGAGTCTCTTAATTCTTTATAAGA